TTAAGATCATATGTCTTGTAAGTTGGCCAGAAACCCGTGGTGAGGACAGTAACTGTCAAGTCAAAGCCTGGACTAGCATGTGAGTTATTGGTGAGGTATTCCTCAAAGCTAACTTGATTCTCTCTAGCTAGAGCCAAATCTGTGACCTGGAATATTTGAAGCACGCGAGCAATCAAGAACACAATGCAAGATGCTTACCCAGAATCGAGATGAGTAAATAATATGATTTGGCTCACCATTCCCTCCATTTTTGAAGTAAACTGGGCACCATGTTGCTGCTTCAACTTTGTCAGAATACTTCTTTCATTTTCGTCATTAGCACTTTTATCAAACAACAGGCGGCGTGAAAGCTTATTCCTGCCACGACACAAGAGCAGTAGGAAAAGCATAATAGCAGAGTCTACTGATCAACATAAAAGCTCAAAAACAAACTCACCTGTAAAATTCTGCAAATAAATCCTTGTCACTGATGTATGCAAGAAGTTTAACGACCTGGAAAAATAGGTTTCAATTACTGCATTCAAAATATGCTACAATGAAAAAATATAAATGCACACTGCAATTTGCACAAAAAAAAAACACCTTCTCCAGAGTGTCTTCAATAGCTTCGTCACTCAATTTTTCACTTCCACCTTTTCTTGAGAATGTTGTCACAAAACGTTGCAAGAAGATCGGCGCTGGAATTTCCAGCAACGCCCTTGTTGCAGAAGATTTCAAAAGCTTCCTTAAGAGCCTGTGTAGAAAATTTGGAAGTCACAACTGGAGCAGACAGGTTAAGTTGAAAAACAGAACATGAAACCAATGTGATGATCCTAACCTTGTGGAATAGAGTGTGATTTACAAAGCAGTCATTCACATATGTCATGTACTTGTCATGGAGCTCAATAACATTTCTTACAAACACCTGGGATGTACAAATGTGAATTAAGTCTATTATGTGAAACCATACAAAATAAAAGGAATAGTTAATAAGTTACCTGTTCCTGCAAGCCGACAACATCTTTCTTTTCAGCCTGCACAAGACATCCTCAGATTAATAACATGCAGAATGAATCAAATTACTGACAGAGAACATTGAAATCATATATTTATTATCTAAATGTTTGACTGTGCTGTCTACCATGACAATGTTTTGTCGATGAAATCATTATTATCTCATGTCCTCTCAACATGATACATTATTTGGAAAATTTCTGTTTTCAAGGATTGAGTAAAGTTCTTTTCCTTTTTTTCTTTTTTTTTTTATTATATTATGTAACAGTAAAGATCTAATCCTCAGAGAATTGGACATTATGACAACTGCAATACATGATACATCATACTAATTTCAGAGTGATCGTCTTCACAAAGTTTCACAAAATATCCTGCAAATTTATGGATAACTTAAAACAACACATAAATATTCCACACCACATAGTAGAGGTTGTGATCGTCTCCCTCAACTTTTTGATGCACCACTTAAATCGTCAAAGACTCACTTCTATTCATAATTCTCCACTATATCCAATCGACAATCAATATCCAAATAATAAGAATAGTCATAAGCTATACAAATCAGTACTTGCCCTAGTTGTTGCTATACAGAGGTTATACACAAAGAGAGTACAAAATTGAGTAAAATATAAATATCATTGCCAACAAACCTTCTTGTTGCTTGCAGCATCTTCCGCTTGTTTAACCAAGTAAGTACCTTCACCGGTAACATGCTGTGTGTTGGAATTTCAGAAACCATTGTATGTTAGCATTTAAATCCATGTACAGCTTGGCAAAGTCAGCATAGCATATAATTCTAGTCAGCCACTGCATTTATGAAAAAATCAAAACCATTGCTCACCTGCTTAAAGATATTGGCTACTGGTTCTAAGCCTCTTGGGTATTTTAGAAAAGAGCCTATACATCCTCGACAAATCCTCTACCTAACGCATAAATAATTAATAAAGTTTAGATTTATGAAAAAAAAAAAAAAAAAAAAAAAAAAAGAAGAAGAAGAAGAAAACAACCCATGTGGCTATTTGATTTCACCTCCAATGAGATGAGTTTGGTTCTATTTAAATCCTGGTCAATGTTACATATTAGAGAAAATAATTGGTTGTGTATCTTCTTAATTGGTGGTTTAATTAGCTTTACTATAACTTCTCTATAACTTAATTAGCTGACCTATGATTATTATGTTGCAAACAGCCAAGTCATTAGTCCACAAAATGTTGTTGCACCTTAACGTTATTGTTTTCATTGCGTTGCTAAAAAGGATTTGATTTCAAATATGGATAAATGATAATTCAAGTCATGATCCATGGATATTTGATTGAGTTTTAATTAAGCATCACAATATAATATATATTAGTTTTGAAATCATTTAGCTAGTGTTGCATATTGGTAACCTAAATGCCTTTGAAAAAACTCGTTAAACAATATAATCAAGAAGTGGGAAGAAAAAAAAAAGTATCGGTGAAACATATGAATTCTATTGTGATGTGGCTTAATTTTGACCTGTCATATTTTTTTTAACAAAACTACATATTTATACTTTGAAATATATATATTTTTTTTTCCTATGTTAGTTTTTCAAAGTAAAACAATTTAATATGATAGTATTCATTTCCATCCACCACACTATATATATTTGACACCAAATAATAAAACAGCCCTTACTTATAAAACAATAATAATAATATGTTAGAAATTTAACATGAACTAATTATAATGACACTCATTAATTAATTTGGTCCTAAATTTTTTTGGCCACCATCCCTTTCCATCCTGTGAGGATATTATGCAATAATATGCATTATATTTATTTTCTTCCAACAAGAATGTTTCAATTTCTTATTAATTACCCTGGATGGCTCCAACTGTATGGTCCATATTATTTATAATAATCTCAAAATCAGTAATTTTGGAAATTGATAATAACATCTCATCTAAGGGGAAAATATAAAGGAAAAAAATTAATAAATGAACTAGGAAAATTTAAAAGTGTGTGTTCAACTCTTTTTTTTTAAAAAAAAAAAGAAATTCGAAGTTGAAGTTGTATTAGCTTTTACCAAGAAAACTTAAATTGATATCTAACCCATATTAATTAGTCAAATGAAATTGCAGGGACCACAGTTTAAATAATGCAACATAATAATGGATTTAAGCCTACTTTGTTCTAATCTTCGGCGTGAATTAATGGGTCATGCACAAATGGGATAATTTTGAACCTTAATTGGCCCCTCGACTCCTCAACTGGTTTGTGGTTTTTGTTGTTTAAGCGTGTTGATCATCTAATGATAGGAATAATATTAGATTTTGTGGCATATATAATAATACAGTTGCCTAAAAATGCCTTAGAGTTGAATTTCTATACAAATTGTTATACAAGACCATTAGATATGTTGATCGATCTATCATACGTCTTTACCAAAAATTCATACTTTTGGTGCGGAATCCTTTATTTTTGTATTTTATTTTTGTAAAGTACAATATTTTAATTTTAGAATATACATATTTGTTTGAAAAATATGATGTCTAACCTTAAGTCTGTTCAACAATAGTGATTTTCCAAACTTTACTTTTTATTTTATTTACAATTCTAATTATTTAACAAAAATTGGGACATGCACATGCTGTGGAAACTTATCTTTAGAAGAACATACCTTAATGATATGAGTAATACTAAGTCACTAAGTTTTATCACAAATTAATATGTCCTTTGTACAGTGTTTTGTATAATAAGAAAAAAAAAAAATAAAAAAAAATAGTTCGGCTAATTCAATATTACGGGGCACTATCCTGTGAGATTTTACATTTACACAATTGAATAAATAATTATACGCATTTATGATTTATGTGAGTATGTATAAAACATGCGTAATTGAATTTTTCACCGTTAGATAGAGAGAAAACAAATTCATCTATTAAATTTAAAAAATAAGTGGAAAAACAACTGAAGAGTGAAACAAGCATAATTAACATTCAATGACAAATTGTACTTGATGTTTCTAGAATACTCATTCCAAATTGATTCTCCCAGCTGTTATTTTTCATAATAGACATTCTCTGGTTTGGGCAGGCAATTATAACCAAATACCTCAACTTAGCCATGCTTTTTTTCCTGTTACAATTTAATAAATAAAAAATAACTAAAAATAAAATTAAAGAGATCATTTCAATTTTTATTAGGACAGTGTGAGTATCCGTCTAACCGGTAGATAGGTCGACCAGTAATATTTTTTTAACAAAAATATATATTTATATTACGAAATATCCTATTTTTATTTACATTAATTTTTAGAGTAACACATTTCAATTTTAAATGTATGATTGTCTAAACACACTAATTAGAATATAATCATTTTAGCAGTTTATACTTTATATACTTAAAATGTGTGAATATACATTATAAGAACCAACAATACAAGAATCCTTGTTCAGAACCCCTTATCAAGAAATTCATTTTTTATAGCCGTTAAATTAGTCAATGTCTTGAGGACCAATGCCATTCACCAGAAGTTGCTACCTAATCTTATCTCACTACGCAGAGTCAACTAGAGAAATTGGCTGACTGGGCATAACACATTGTTGAAAATACAAGAAATTTTTCAATTTTTTTATCTTTTATTCTAATCATTCATCACATCTNACAGTACAAATTCATTAGATTGAAAGCAACATTATTACTATCATGATAAAATTGACAAAGATAAAAAAGTAAAGCTAACTCTTGAAACTTTTATCATTATTGCTAATTTTTTTTCCATTTGGGCCAGCCATTGCACTTTTTGGGATTACCCTTTGTAGGAGTATGGTTTAGTAGTCTAATAAAGGTCAACTATAACTATAAGAATAAAACTCTCTAATAAAGAAGAAACCCCCAACCCTCAAAGGAGGGCATTTCTAAAATTAGATTTAATGCATAAGAAACTAGCAAATGAACTTAGTTAGCATTTATAGTAATCTAGTTCCACAAAGTGGTTGTAGACTTTAATTTAATGCCTTTGTGTGAGACTACTCTAGTTCATGTGGTATGTGAAATTTCAAAGACAGAAAAATGATGAGCAAAAAAAGGAAATGTCGAAAATATAACTATTGCTCGAGAAAAATGAAATTCTTTAGACCAATACAAAAGTTATTCTTTTAATCGACGTGTACTACGACTTACGACGAGTTAAAACTAGAACTTGTGACGGCTAACTCTGACTTGATACTCATATTTTAAAGTTATTTTCATAATCATACCTTAAAAATGAAAGAAATTTACTGAAATGTCATGGTTTTCAGAGCGAGTTAGATAACTTTTTAGAGTGTTTTTCTTATAAATCTCTCCCTATATATTAATTCAAAACGTGCTGAGCCTAAGTGGTAGGCTCGCACGCTTCAGATGCTGACTTGGCAAATATTTATGCTTGGTATGAAACATAAATATCCTTTTTTATCTAACTTGGTAATTGTCTATTTATTTTTGTTCATTTTATTCTTAAATCGGGCAACCAAATATCTTTCCATTTCTATAATATTATACCAATAATACCAATGAAGGTCCATATATCATCTTTTATCCATGAAAAAACTAATAAATCTCTATCATTTTCCATTATAATTAGAGGCATGGATATATGAAAATGATGATAGTTGTACACAGTGCATTTTCTCTAATTTTATATCATAGTTTTTGGTAACACAAAACACTCCGATCGGCTTGAAATCGGCTCGTCTTCCTACAAAGAACTCTCACACCGGGGAGTTTTTCCCGTGAAGAGCCTCCGATGCTTAAGTCAGTATGTATTTTTCTCAATTCTCCAGAGTAAAAAAATGGATAAACCGTAAGCAACAAGAAAGGCTCACTCCTATATATATAGGAGTGAGATACATGCCCTAGGAGCTGCCTGGATTTGGTGAGCTGTCTGCCCCACTCTGCCCGGATCTGCCCGTCCGTACACACGCAGTGTGTGTGTGTGTCAGAGGTGGTTATCGCCACTATTGCTCTGCACCAATATCTTCTCACCACGTGCCCTTCTAAACAAAGACTAATTATTCCCCTGAATATTCCTTTGAGATTTCCTTACGAAGTTCATGCGCTTTCTCGCGTTCACACCCCACCCTCGATTGCTCTTCACTCGTTGGGTGGTCGATCAGGTAGGCCCTCAATTGCCCTTCATTCGCCAGGTGGTCGATCAGATAAGCTCTCCTTCAGTATGTCGATCTTCGACCATATCCACTCCGATGTTCGACCGCTTCCTTCCGGTTTGCTATTGCTCAACCGACGTGGCCTTTCTTGCATCGGGCTTGTATGACCAGCCCAATGAACCAGTATATTCTTTAGGTATATAATATCCCATATCAGTTTTATACACTTATTTAATTTGTACAATTCTTAAAACCAATATATGCATAATATTTTCCATTATTTCAACCTTAATACATCTTATATATCAATTGATTTTATCCATATGGTAATACCTTTATTCACACTTCAAAATCTTCAACATGATTCGTAACATGATTTTAACACAATATAAAAATAAAAAAATAAAAAAAAAATCGAATGCCTAAATTTGGGTGATTTGGCCTTGATACCACAACTCATTTAGTTGTGACAATTTATATTTTCCTATCATTTTTTAATAATAATATTACAAAATTACACATTATGTTTTCCTATTCGTTTTTTTAAAATGACTAGTATCTTATTAACCACTTAATATGTATAGAATGAACCATTTG